ACTGGAGTGAGTTCTTCACAGCTGACACCTAAAGGAAGAGATAACTCTGTTATAACATGTTGTAAAAGTCATAATAAGTGAATGACATTCAGAAACGTTGACAGTGATCTTTTTGAAATGCAGAATGTAACATACCTGTTAGAATGTAAAGAAACAGCAGAGAAAAGACACAATACTGCAGTGACAGCATGTTGAATAAAGGTAATGTTGATGGTTTGTGTATTGAACTCTGTTGAATATACAAGTTTCTCTCTCTTCTATAGTTCAGTAACATCTTAGCTCCTCCCTGAGTCTCTCAGTCTCCTCTCAGATCTGTATTTTCACTTCTCTCACTTACACTTCCTCCTGGTTAACAGACTGGGAGCAGCATTGTGTACCAGCTGGAGGTGGGAAGGAAATAGAATATCAAATCACAGATTGTCAGCAAAACAATGGAAACCAATATTGTGTTTCAAGTAATTTGCTCTACAGGCACCATGTCATAAAAATGAGAGGACCTAGGATTAAACCCTGTGGTACACCTCAGTAAAATCACAGCCCAATGGCCGGTATACACTGTGTGATTTTGGGCTGTCCCAGACAAAAGATGACCATTGTGGGAGAAATGTGGCGATATCTTTGGTCGTGGCTCTAAAGCTGTGGTCTTACATCGCACTGTGAGACAGGTTCAAGGACGGCCGATGTCAACGTCTTGCGACCAAAGATAACCTGAGATAAAATTCTGACGGTGTCAGAAATTTAGGATGACTATCTCACAGTGTGACACCTGCTACGACCTACGTCTACTAATCAACCAATAGAAATGCATCAGGAAATGACACAATGGTCAGCGTGACATCGGCGCTAAACCCAAACAAATGATCGCTTGCCATGGAGGTAAAATGAACAAAAACAAGTCTGTGGATATTCTAGAAAGAGGAAAGTTTGGTGGAGCTGTGGCAGCAGAAGCCATGTTTATTTGATGTTTCCTTCAGCTGCTATCATGACCACGAGAAAAAAGACGCTGTATGGAAGGAAATTGCGGAGGAACTGCAACTTCCAGGTGAGCAAGCTACCTATGGTGGCATAGATGGATGACGTACGCTGATGCGGTGCATGCTGATGATGTTGCATACTGACGTACATCGTAACCTGTGATTCAGTAGTAAACAGACATCGTACAATCTGCACACCCCAAACTTGACATTGTACCAAAGTTTATTCGATCCACGTCTCACAGTATGTCATGCAATGGTCTTATAAGACTGCTAAAATCGCACAGTGTATAGAGGACATAAGAGACTCCGATCACAAACACAGTGTTCGTTAGCAGACATACTTCTCTACATGGGTGAACATCATTTTACCAGCTGGACATTTTTAAATATCAGATCAACAATGATATGTTTATTTATTTGAAAAATCAGTGAGGAACACAGTCAGCATACAGAGAAACATATTATGTGTCAATAAAATCAATTAGTGATCCATATTTTAATCATTATTTGTCCAAACTGTCAGGTTGTGTGAACCAGTTTCAGCTTTAAGGATCAGTGTTGGAGCCTCCCTGTTAGCATGTCTGAGGATTTTCTCTGTGAAACTTTCATTAATTTAAACTTCTCATTATCATAAAAGACACAAACACATATCTGATGCAGTAGATTAAGTCCTCTGTGTTTTGTGGCTTTGTTGTAAGTAGTAAGACTGTTGTAACTGACTTGTTGTAAGACTGTAGACTCTATTTGGACCTCCTGTTGAAGTCAAACAGTGGGTGACTGCCTCTAGTGGATGTTGTGGAGTATTGTGTTGTCTTTGCTCATAATGTTTTTGTACAGAGTTTTGGTGTTTCCTGTCACTGTGGGCTGCAGAGCACAGTAGTACACAGCAGAGTCAGACAGCTGAAGCTTCTGGATCTTCAGAGGAACTGATGTCTTGTTGAGTGTTGCATCAAATCTGTCTTTCTGGAACTCTGGAGCATTATCTTCTGTGTTTGAGTAACGCTTCAGCATGTACTTTGGGTGATCTTTAGCTTCTTGTTTGTACCAGTATAAATATGGACCTGGGTTACTGGTCTCAAATGTACAGCCAAGTGTAACTGTGTGTCCTTCAGTAGCGATGACATCTCCTGTTGGCTGGATCACTCTGTCTTCTCCTTTACACTCTGGGGAAGAAGAGAACATGCAGAGGAAGAGATGAATCAATAAAGATGATTGATTAAAGGAGAACAATCAGTAGGTTTAAAGAGTTACCTAGACAGAGAGTCAGAATCAGGATGTTTCTCAGCCAGTGTTTCATGTCTGCAGTGAGAGGGGAGGAGACAGAGGAAGAACATTGATACTCTGATGGATCTGGGCCTTCACATCATTGGTCCTTCATCTTCATCATCTGCTGAGGGACTCTCAACATTGACATGACATTTAGCATGACGCCATCTGTCACAAACTGGCTCAGTGAATGCTCATTGAGCAGCGTCTGCTCTTTTCCAATTGACCTATGGCTAAGCCCCGCCCCCTCCACTCACTCAGACAAACTATCAACATTAAGTGCCCGGCGCTATGGCAGGTGTCACAGTACACGGCATTTCGCAGGAGGCAATTGATGTTTTTTGGGGACATAATCAGATGTCATTGAGAAGTAACCAAAAGGGCCTAAACTACGCATTGGAGGGATATATTCATCATTTTATTGTTGAGAAGGTCGATGAAAAGCTTAAATTACAAGCCAAAATTTACAGGTCACAGTGTAGGCTTGTGAACCGCATCTTGTTGCAGTCGCCATTGTTGGGATTCACAGGACCACAGATGTTTTGTCATTTGGTAAAATCTACACTGGACATTTAAAGGCTTCCTTCTCTGCATGCTCTTTGTTCTCCAGACAAAGACAGCTATTTGACACCCATCTCCAGGAAGTCTCACCTCACACCTCAGTGAGACACAAGTCTCGCAACTTGATTGGACAGTACTGTTACAGTGACATGTGACTCTGTGATGTCACCAAACTCTGTAGAAGGTCTGCTCCCTCCAAGCTTTCTTTCTTGCTCTGGAGCTACAACAGCTCACTCTCTTGCTCCACACCTCTGTCCTGCTGGGCCTGGAACAGCCCAGATGCTCAGGCCCTTGCTCCGTGCCCTGAACCATCAAAGGTGGCGCAATTGATCACAGACTCTCTAACCTGAACCAGAAAGGTAGAGGTGCAAGCACAAGTCTTGCAACTAGCTTTCCAGCAACCAAGAGAACCAAGTGAGTTAGCACCCAGCATCTAACTCTGCTAAACCCTGAGCGACCAGCTTCCTCAGAGTTTCACCTTTGGATCAAAGGACACAACAAAGACTGCAGCTGGAACCACAGCTCTTCCCAGCCTTCTTCCGCCGGCTAACAAAGCAGTACACCACCAAGTGACTCTTTCTCCCATCCATTCAAGGATCGGTAATGTAACAACTGGGCATAGCTTCATCACAGCTTTACAGGCTAAGTAAGACTGTTTGACTTGTTGTATGTGATTTGATGCTGTTTACTGAGTTATTGTTGTGATTGTTTGCAGTTAGGTCATTGATTAGTTGGCTTCGCCAAAGCTACGTGTTTAGTTTGCTAATACTGTTCACAAACAGATTCTTGCATGCAACTAAACAATCTCTGCACTAATCCAGACCGTTTGCAACACATGTCACATTGACACAGACTCATTAACAAACAGGCTTTCAACAGAGCTACACCCAAACAGGCATTTCAAAGTTCCCGCTTCTTTCCCTTTGTCTTTGTCCTGACCACACGGTCAGACAGACACCTCCCCCGAAACTGAAGCCAGCTTTGATTCGGCCATCTTGTAGTTCCCTGTTGTCAGCCATTTTGTTTTGTAGGCCAAATGGCTCCTTGATCACCATACCTGCCTTTGTCTTTCCCTTTTCTCTCTTACACGCACGCACGCGCGCGCACGCACACACACACACACACACACACACACACACACACACACACACACACACCAAGCTTGTATATAGTAAGTTAGAATTTGTCTGTTTTGGTTTGCTTTGCTAGTTTGTGAATAAATATAATTCTTTGGAATCATACCTGCTGTCTGTTTAATGTTGCACAAGAGTGAATGAATAGTCAACCTCTGCTGCGTCAAGAACTCAGAAATCCTTCAGGCGTTACTGTTAATTTTGGTTGTTGTCATTAATTTAATTATTAATCAAA